GGTTGGGGGGGGGGGGGTGAGGGGTGCTCTGCCAACTCTGGTGCAAAGTTGTGTCGGTCATGTGCGCTGCCCACCCATCAACTTGCTTCACTACTGCAAAGTCTTGCTTGACTACTGTATTTGAATTGTAATTTTTGATGGCAGTTTGTTTATCATCATGTTATTACTCAAATTACTCTATCTCATTTTGTCTCTAATATTTTTTTGCTAAATCATGAAAATAGCACCCCCCTCTGGCGTAGGGCTAGGTGTAGTTTATCTTGAAGTGTTTTTCCACAGGTATCCCACAGAGTAGTGTTGAATTAGTAGTGAATAATCAAAGTAGGGTTGAATTAATGCTTTGTAAATTGTTTGCAGAGTTGGAGGTGGGACAAAATGCTTTATACGTTTCATAGCCCCAATTCCGGCACCGACTTTACAACATATCGAATTGATGTGTGCATCCCAAGTTAATTTTTCGTCAATGTCCATCCCTAAACATGTATATATGCTGGTTCGAGGGATTGGGGTATTATTCATCAGTATTGGCGTATTTCCAATTTTATTGATGAGGTTATAAGATGAAGCAGTAAACATGACTTTTGTTTTGGTGGGATGATGTTGAAGCTTATTTTTTAAAAGCCACCTCTGAATATTATTTAGATCATCATTTAAACAAGTCTGATATCGTTTGCACGTATGAAGTTGCTAACAAGCTCGTGGCAACGCAGCCTGTATTAGTCTTGTTAGTAAGAACAACTTGTAGCAAGTCTGTTACCGTCATCAACCTTGTAAAAAGATGATATCATCAACCTTGTAGCAACTCGAAAAAATATCCGTCCACTTTCATGATTAACAATGTTTTTAATTCTCCCCAGATCTCCAGATGGCAAAGTTGTGGTCGAGAGAAGAAACAGTAGATCATATTTAATAATTAAAAATGTCACTGATGCTAATAATGGGATGTATCAATGTACTGCTGGCAATGAACTGGACACCATATATTCCACCGCACGTCTGCACGTAGTAGGTTGGTAATTTTACATATTACTGTCCTGCAAAAGCTAGGATTAAGTTCAGTGATCATAATATTGTAGAATACTATATTACCTACACTGGACCACCACGTTTGAGATATCTTTTTCTTCAGGTAGTTCAAACACAAACCACGGCAGCTTATTTTAGAATACTACCTACACTGGACCACCACGTTTGAGATATCTTTTTCAGGTAGTTCAGACACAAACCACAACAGCTTATTGTAGAATACTACCTACACTGGACCACCACGTTTGAGATTTCTTTTTCAGGTAGTTCAGACACAAAGCACGACAGCTTATTGTAGAATACTACCCACACTCGACCACCACGTTTGAGATATCTTTTTCTTCAGGTAGTACAGACACAAACCACGACAGCTTATTGTAGAATACTACCTGTACATACTGGACCACCACGTTTGAGATATCTTTTCCAGGTAGTTCAGACACAAACCACGACAGCTTATTGTAGAATACTATCTACACTGGACCACCACGTTTGAGATATCTTTTTCAGATAGTTCAGACATAAACCACGGCAGCTTATTGCAGAATACTACCTACACTGGACCACCACGTTTGAGATATCTTTTTCAGGTAGTTCAGACACAAACCACGACAGCTTATTGTAGAATACTACCTACACTGGACCACCACGTTTGAGATATCTTTTCCAGGTAGTTCAGACACAAACCACGACAGCTTATTGTAGAATGGGTACCTACATTGGACCCCAATGTTTGAGATTGTACCTTCTCTTCTCAGAAAAGAAGCCAGTGTTCACAGAGAAAATGGGACCAGTGATCTTAATTGCAAATAGAACTGGTCTTGTTATTTGTCCCGTGGCTGCTTCCCCTCCTCCTGAGATAACGTGGAGGAAGAATGGTCGGATTATTCTGAAAGTTGGCAAAGCAGACGTTCAGAATGATAAACGTTTTAAAGCGGCTGCAAATCAAAGGGATCTCCTCATTCCGAGCGTTAAGCTTTCGGATGCAGGAACCTACACCTGTCACGCTAAAAATCGGAAGGGTTCAGCTGAAGATTCAAGTGATATTACTGTAGGAAGTAAGTACTTTAATCTTGTGTTTGTTTGTTTTTTTGGGAGCAAGAATTTTTTTTTTGGTTGTTGCTGTTGTTGTTGTTGTTGTTGTTGTTGTTGTTGTTGTTGTTGTTGTTGTTGTGAGTCAATATCTTAGTTGTTTGTTGTTTTATGTTGTTCTTGGGAAGAATTTTGTTTGTTTGTTTGTTTGTTTGTTTGTTTGTTTGTTTGTTTGTTTGTTTGTTTGTTTGTTTGTTTGTTTGTTTGTTTGTTTGTTTGTTTGTTTGTTTGTTGTTGTGAGTCAGTATCTTTGTTATTGTTTGTTTGTTGTTGTTTTATGTTTGTTTGTTTTGTTTTGTTTTGTTTTGTTTGTTCTGTTTTTATTGTTACTAATAACTGCAGTGATATTACTGTAGGAAGTAAGTACTTTAATCTTGTGTTTGTTTGTTTTTTTGGGAGCAAGAATTTTTTTTTTGGTTGTTGCTGTTGTTGTTGTTGTTGTTGTTGTTGTTGTTGTTGTTGTTGTTGTTGTTGTTGTTGTTGTTGTTGTTGTTGTTGTGAGTCAATATCTTAGTTGTTTGTTGTTTTATGTTGTTCTTGGGAAGAATTTTGTTTGTTTGTTTGTTTGTTTGTTTGTTTGTTTGTTTGTTTGTTTGTTTGTTTGTTTGTTTGTTTGTTTGTTTGTTTGTTTGTTTGTTTGTTTGTTTGTTTGTTTGTTTGTTTGTTTGTTTGTTTGTTTGTTTGTTTGTTTGTTTGTTTGTTGTTGTGAGTCAGTATCTTTGTTATTGTTTGTTTGTTGTTGTTTTATGTTTGTTTGTTTTGTTTTGTTTTGTTTTGTTTGTTCTGTTTTTATTGTTACTAATAACTGCAGTGATATTACTGTAGGAAGTAAGTACTTTAATCTTGTGTTTGTTTGTTTTTTTGGGAGCAAGAATTTTTTTTTTGGTTGTTGCTGTTGTTGTTGTTGTTGTTGTTGTTGTTGTTGTTGTTGTTGTTGTTGTTGTTGTTGTTGTTGTTGTTGTTGTTGTGAGTCAATATCTTAGTTGTTTGTTGTTTTATGTTGTTCTTGGGAAGAATTTTGTTTGTTTGTTTGTTTGTTTGTTTGTTTGTTTGTTTGTTTGTTTGTTTGTTTGTTTGTTTGTTTGTTTGTTTGTTTGTTTGTTTGTTTGTTTGTTTGTTGTTGTATGTTTGTTTGTTGTTGTATGTTTGTTTTGGTTTTGTGTTGTGTTGTGTTTTGTTTTGTTTTGTTTTGTTTTGTTTGTTCTGTTTTTATTGTTACTAATAACTGCAGTGTTTGCGGCAGCTTTTTGCATTTTTTGTTCTTCATCCATGTTGTTTTTTGGTTGCTGTTACGAAACGACCAGATTTTCTCGCCAATGTTCAGTTCGAAATTCTTTTAGTAATCACGATAACCTATTTCTTAATTCCACAGAGGATATTGTGTGGATAGCCGCACCCGTGGACAACCGTAACGTCACCATTACATTGCGCTTTGAACTTGATTGCGAAGCTGAGGGTGACCCGAGTTATGAAGTGAGTTACCGCTGGCTTCGCAATGGCTTGCCGCTGGAGTATAGTGCCCGCATACACTGGGTTAAGGAAGCTAATAGATTGGTCATATTGGATGCTATAGTAAGTAAACTTTGAGTTGTTGTGAATAACATGAGATATTCTGCTTTTTACCTATCACACATTCTTATTTCATGGTTCTTTATTTATACTTATAACTCTATCAGTTCTAAACTGTTTTTCCTATAGGTCCAGTAAGGATCATCTCTTGTTGATCCAGTGTTACTACAGGAGGAAACCTAAACTAAACTAACTTTATTTATACTGGATAGCTCTATCAGTTCTAAACTGTTCTCCCCAGAGGTCCAGTAAGGATCTTCTCTTATTGATCCAGTTTTACTACAGGAGGAAACCTAAACTAACTTTATTTATACTGGATAGCTCTATCAGTTCTTAACTGTTCTTCCTAGAGGTCCAGTAAGGATTATCTCTTATTGATCCAGTGTTACAACAGGAAGAAACATAACCTAAACTAACTTTATTTATACTGGGTAGTTGTGTCCTAAAGATTCCAGTCTTTGCTACAGGAGGAAACTAGATTACCCGGAAAAAACCTCTGGTGTTTGATAGAATCAAACTGGAAGCACTCTTCTCACATGTGACTGTGGTGAAATTGTAATGAAGAATTGAACCCTGACCACGTTAAATACAAATGCATTCTATATAATGCCGTTTTGTTTTGCTACTTTAGGTATCAGACACCGGGACATATACATGTATCGCCTCTGCTGAGACACCACTCTACATTGAGAGACGAAAAGATGTTGATATTGTAGTCAAAGGTAACGTTCTGAATACATTCAGTAAATTAACTAAATACAACATAACTTGGTAAAGTAAACTAATTTTAAAAAACTAAAACCCTATTTTAGTCATGCCAAAATAATTTAGTCCACTAGAACTAAACACATTTTAGAGATAAATACTATTAGTAGAACTAGACTTTAACTAAAACAAAATACACATCAGCGACTAAAACTTTAATTTTTTATCCTTTGCTGAGAACTGTACTAAACAAAAACTAAATATTTACAACTCGGACTAAAACAAACGGTAACCCAGCATACATTTTAATTAAAAACTTTAACCACATCGACAAACTTAGTCTTAGATGCTTTCGTATTTTTAAGACCATAAACTCAAATTAATGTTTTAAACTGGAAATAAACTAAAACTGAATTGAAATTTTTGTTTCAAACTAGAACTAAACTAAAAATAAATTAGTGGTTTAAACTATAACGAAGCTATAGAAATAAACTCAAAACACCATATTAAAACAACATTAAACATTAGTGTTGAGCAGAGTGGTAAACGCTGGACTGTGGTATCATGTAAAACACACTTCCTGTTCGCAGGCTACACTGAAACGTCTTCATTTCTCTCATAGCACCAGCCAACCCTCCTGACTTGGTGTGGATTGATGGCAGTTGCTGGGATCAAACTGCTTCTCTCGCGTGGAGGGTGGGAGCCACGAACAACGAGGAGATCTATGAATACTGGATTGATTGGTCAACAACGTACGACACGACGAACTGGACACGATTGCCTAAAGTTCTCGAAGAAGATACGAAGCCTGTGAGGCTCAATTTTAATCTGCTGCCACCGTTTTCTCAAATTTCATTCCGTGTCACCGTGTTCAACCGTATCGGCGCGGGAGAGCCGAGCATTCCAACTGATCCATCGGACTGTATAACCAAGCCTGCCGGTAAGTTAACCGTGCCCATTTATTCTACCCCTCACACTCTATTAAAGGCAGAGTATCTGAGTTTGGAGGTAGGTGCCGTTGGTGGCCAAGGCTAGTCGGCGATCTAGCCTTATCAAGCAAATGACCGCAATGGCAAACATTATGCAAAACACTGGCAAACATTTATGGCAAAACTGGGAAAACAGCAATGGCAAACAGCTATAGCGAAACAGCAAAAAAACGTAATAATAAGGCTAATTATAGTAGCCATAGGAGTTTGCCATGACAATTCTGCTAAGGCAGACCTCTGGCACCTGTCACACTGATGATCAGTGGAAAAAAGGACGCATTCTATAGTAGTCTATAGATTGTATCCTATAAAGAAAAACAAATAAAAAAACCCAAAAAAACAACCCAACACAAAACAACAAAAAACAAAACTAAAACAAAACTAAAGAAATTAACCCGAGTATCAACAAACATTAACCAGGGTGGGGAAAGGGCGAAGCTGGCTAGCCAAGCTGTAGCAAAGTGACAGATGCGCGAGAATTGCAACTGTTCTAAGTGACGTCAGGGGCTCCCCGCTGCTAGATACATCTGCCGTTAACTTAAATCTACGTTTAACCACAACACTCTGGTTAAAACTCCCTGTTACTGACCCTGAAATAATAGGACATTGGCAATAAAGGACATTGGCAATAAAAAAATAATAAAAGGAGTCGGTCTCTGACCAAAAGTAATTTATTTTAACGAGCTTTCGGTCACTTGAAGACCACAGTCCTGTAGAAGACTATACAGTCTAGTGGCCGAAAGCTCGTCAAATTAAATTATTTTTGGTCAAAGAACGACTTTCCTTTTATTATGCCTTTACCTGACCAGACTTCATCCATGTTTACAAATAAAAAATTAGTTTCATTTAAAAGAACTCTTGAAATTATATATTAAACTCTATTACCGATTTGTCATATCTTGCTTAGTTTTCGAAATATTTAGACCGAAATTAATGAGCTGTCCGCCTTTTTGGTTTTATATTTTTTTAACTATGGTTTTGATGACGTTAGGAGTTGAGTTAACCATATAAAACTACTCTAAGGGCATCCTTTGTTAAATTCACCAGACTATCATGACTGATAGAGATCCAGTAAAATAAATAAAGCTAGTTTAGATTAGGTCTCCTCCTGTAGTAACACTGGATCAATAAGAGATGATTCTTACTGGACCTCTAGGAAGAACAGTTTAGAACTGACAGAGCTATCCAGCATAAATAAAGCTAGTTTAGTGTAGGTTTCCTTCTGTAGTAACAAGGTGGATCAAATTCGTCACTAATGTTTTTCAAATTGTATTCCAGCTCCTCGTTTCTCTCCAAGGGAGATCAAAGGTGTTCCTGGTGGACCTAATATTCTCAAAATAGAATGGACGGTTAGTACTCCTGTTTATTGATGTATTTACTTATTTTTATTTCGACCACGATGCACAAATGTACAGTAGGTAGTATTCTTCAATAAGCTGTCGTGGTTTGTGTCTGAACTACCTGAAAAAGATATCTCAAACGTGGTGGTCCAGTGTAGGTAGTATTCTACAATAAGCTGTCGTGGTTTGTGTCTGAACTACCTGAAAAAGATATCTCAAACGTGGTGGTCCAGTGTAGATAGTATTCTACAATAAGCTGCCGTGGTTTGTGTCTGAACTACCTGAAAAAGATATTTCAAACGTGGTGGTCCAGTGTAGGTGGTATTCTACAATAAGC